TGATTTGACATCCTTCTAGAAGGCAACTTGTGACCTGTTATGTTCAAAGGTTTTCTATTTCTAGTGACAATCAGTCATACTATTTAATTTTCATATTTGATCTTTTATGAATTTTATTTATCACAGTTCAGTTAGTAGTATGGTTCTAAAAATAATAAAAGTTTATCACATCCAAACAGACAAAAGACCTCATTGTTGTTAAAACATTTTGCAGAATTAACTTGTTCTTCACGAGTTTGAGGGAAAATTMAATTTAAACTTAGACAAACGTCTTTGCTGTGATCTGGAGTCTACAAATATTCATATTTTATCGTTACTGTTTATTACCTGAAGCAGCTACAACTTCTGTCTCACCATGGGACACGCAGGATGAGTGCGCTCCAACTGTGACGTGCTCGCTCTCATGCGCGCAAGTTGCATGTCTTTAGAATAACTACGACGCTCTGAACACAACAACGTTTAACCTGGCGTTTAACACAAAGTTAGACTTTAGATAAAAAAGACCAGGCAGGTCGGGGCTCGGTTCTGGAGGACGGGCTGAAGTAACGGTATAACAGCTCAGCATCTGCTCGGCTGCAGCGAACTGGTTACACGTGAACATATACGTTTAATGCTTAGACATTTAATAATTTATTACATAACTTTACCTTCATGCGGGGCGGGTGGTTCTGGTAGCGGGTCGAAAAAAAAAAAAAGTCCTTGCAAAAGTCCGATTCACTCTGTTTACCTCACCTGCAGTACCCGCTCAGACAGCAGGACCCACCCTGCTCTGTTCTGATTGGCTAAAACTGTGACTCTGGTTCTTTTTATTGTTTGAAAGAAGCATCAGTTAATCCATCACAACACTTTTTGTTTTTTTCTTTTCTCAACAGGAAATGCGCTGCAGAGACGGCCGGGGGAGACGGTGAACTTTAATCGCTTCTGCCCGACAAAATTTAAGACCTTTGAGTAACAAATTTAAGACCAACTTGCACATTTTTTATCAAATTTAAGACGTTTTAAGGCCTTAATTTTAGATATGTAAATTTAAGACTTTTTAAGGACCCTGTAAATGTTTGCTGTAAAACTTCTGAACTGCACTAAACAAATGCAAAGTTTTCATGTTAAGCAAATATAAACTTGTGCTTTTCTATTGTTAGTTTAATCACCATTTAAAGTAAGCCAAAAAAAGTGATTCTTTGAAAAACAATATTGTGCATACCATAACAAATGACTACAAAAAGATTAATTTTATATATAAATAAACAAGATAAAATTTTATTTTTTATTGTAAAAATRATGGATTCAAAGTTAAACTCAGTCCAGTTTTTACTCACCGAGCAGATCGGCCCCTTCATCCACGTCCCCAATGAGCCCAGTTCCTGCAGAGGACAGCTCCTCAAACAGGGAGTCTGTGTTCCGGTCAAACGCCATGTTTTCAATGCCTTTGGTAGGAGTGCTGAAAGAGTAAAAGCAACTGAGGTGATGCTAAGGCGTACAKCGAAACTGAATCAGACCTGCCTTTGCTCCTGGTTCTACCTGCAGGGTTTGTATGCGATGAGCTCCATGTCCAGCTCAGGGGTGGACTCAATTATGTCTTTTACATCTGAATTTTCCTCATTTTCAGGCAAACCTGCACAAATCACAAAGCTTGCATGAGAAGATAGGCTGAAAACAAGCTCACTGTATCAAGTAGCAATAAAAAATTATCCTATAAATAAATAAAAACTTGAATCATTTGTCTTGTTGACCACTCCACCACCACAAGACCAGAAACTCAGAGGGAAAACGCTGAAAACTTTTAATCTACCGACTGATATGGTTCTGGTTCCCGGTGCAGCCTGCACCTCTGTGCTCTTACTCTTCCCATCTTCCCTCTCCATGTCTGAGGTGGACATCTGGGCGGCCGACTTTGAGCTGGTGAAGCCTGAGAGTTCATCCTAAAGTGAAAAACAGACTTACTTACAGGGACTTTTAGAGTCCTTCAAAACATTTAAAACACCCTAAGTGAACTAGATCTAAAATGAAAATCAAACAAAATATTTGATCACAAGAAAATCTACAGGACAACTTACTAAGTTAGGACACAAAATGTGAAAGGACACAACAAAACTGTTAAATATGAGGTGTGAACAGATGAAAACAAAACAGGATTGACTCAAAACTCCCAATTCTTCTTTCCAACTCTTTCATTTTCTGTAGAAAAATTAATGAAACCAGGAGAACGAGCTTAAACATTTAAGTCTAACACAAAGTGGAAATGTTTTGGTGAAATTGGAGAATAAAAAAAACTCATGAGTTGAGGATAGTGTCCACATCACATCAGATCCAATAGGAAACAACGTGAACAACACACAAACACAAAACATCACTACACAAGCTGCAGAGGGCTTAACACAATATCAGAAACACAACATCAAAACAACAGAGAAGCTATCGTTTTAAATCTACAAACACAAATCCACAGAAACTGCTAAAGAAGAAGCTGAAATTAAAAACCTACTAAAACAAAAGTCCACTGGTCCAAACCTACAGCAGTAAGTGGAGGAAAACTAGCTATGTGTTAGCACACAGTGGAAATGATCACTAATGTTATAAATGTGTGAATGAACTAAAATAAAAAAGCAAATATAAAACACACAAACAAGAAGCCAGATKSAACCAAGCTGTCGCCGACTTGAACACGTCCATAGTCAGTTCCTTCAGACAGCCCATGGTTGAATGTGGCTCCGAGGTGGGGTCTAGAAAAGCACGACATGTGACRAGATGCTTCTGACAGAAGAGGAAGCTACGGCACTGAAGCCCACACACATGCACACATGAAACCGTGCCGACCGCAGCCAGAGCAGCGGCGCTGATCATCCAACTACCTTGCAGTCGTCGGCCAGCGAATTCCCCCAAGCAGAGTCCTGCGYGCTCTTACCCTCCCTTTCCTTTGGGGGGTCGGAAAAGTCCAACTGCTTAAGGGGAGTGAGGGGGGGAAGAGTAAGAATGAAGCTTACGTGCAGAAGCAGTTCAACAGATATGCATACACCCATAAGTGTGCATGTCTGTGGAGTGAACGGAGTGGAGTATGCACACGCTGGTGTGTCTGTGTGTGTCTTTACAGAAACTAATTTAGACGTTTGTCTTTCCGATGGACTATTTCACGGATACCACCATCTTTRCCWAGCGCAAAGCATCRTGGTCYAGTTTGGGGGCATCYGGTGCYGGTGTGTGAATTAAAAGACTGAAAACGGGYGGTGTACTGTGTTTTACATGTGTATATGTGCAATAATGATCAGATACATGAAAACAAGTTTAAAGATTTAGAATAATGAAAACACAAGATAGTCTAGTTGATCTTGTGCTAAATATGTTGACGTGGTTTACAGCGATCTGGGCTGCATATCACATCTCCTGACTACAGATCGTTTTGACCACTTAACATTAAAAATATAGGTATGAACTATCTAAAAAAACTTGACCATATAATGGTGTACAGTTTATTTAACAATAATAAACACCATACAGAAAGCTACAGATCACAATAACAAATGCATTTACCACTGTTAAAACAAAAATACGTATTTTGAATTTATATTTAAGCCAAATTTGATGTGTGGCTAAAAGGATGTTTTACACTCAGAATTTAATAAATCATAGGTCAGCCTGCCTCAAGATTATATTTAGATTAAATGTTTATCACCCAGCCCCACCGGTCCTAATGCTGTTAATATGTTCACTATATACTGGGATTTTCTCTGATAATATATTTAATATAGTGCCATACTATGTATAGTATAATATATAGTAACTACTATATTATATTAAGAGTGAAAATATTGCACAGCAGTATGACCTTACCTCTATTTTGCATCTCTAGGTTGCTATTTTAGGCACTAATTCCAACATTTGAGCAGGTAAAAGTTCTGCACGAGTTTGTCCTTTTTCTGATTAGAAGTTGGTACCTCACAAACCAAAATAAACATTTTAAAATGCGCAACAATCCAAACTTTAAACTTTTATAACCTGTCCCATCATTTACTTTTCTTTTGTTTGCCCCCAAACAATCCCACAAACTACTGCGCGCTGCTTCCGGTGGGCGTCGCTAAACGGTATCTGTGAAATAGTCCATGTAAAAACAATTTGAGCCTGCAGGTTTCTCAACATGTATACATTTAAGGATCCTTCTTAGTTTAACACAGAGCTGTACAATATTAAATACTGTGATGGTGATATAAGCGGTGATAAACCTCAGTACTGGTCTAGAACATGCCACGCTCATTATTAAAATGACATTTTTAAGATTAGTTTCTGTGAATTTTATTACTATAAAAATGCAACGATTGGGAAAACATATTGTTTTTATTACCCCAGTTTACACCCAATGATATGATTTTACATTTATGAATCATAAAACATTAAATAATGGCGCACATGCAGACACATGCATGTGTCAGATTCAAACATCACCTTATAAATAAATCTGTTTAACTTTAAAGGCTGCGTTCAAACTAATAAAGCTACTTGTGTTTAAAAAGTCCAACGCCTCAACAATACCAGTCCTGTGAATGATTGCATATGAGCCAATCAGATCGCAGCGAGTCTCTCTCTCCCTCTCTCTCTCTCTCTCTCTCGCTCTCTCTCGGCTGTGTGCCCTACATCAGCATCACTCCCATCATGCATTGCGCCACACAGCTGATGTCCCAGTTTTAACAACAACGCAGCAGTGGAAGGAAATGATTTTACAGCTGCTAAAGATGCTAGCATGGAAAAAAAGGCTGTTTTAAAATAGCTTSAATGTAGCTGAAAGAAAAACACGATGTTGGAAGAAATATTTCCAAAGCCCATCATTTTGCATGAATTTGAATTCAAACAATAACTAAAAACTGATACATGTWAATTTATTTGTGTCTGAAGCTAAACAGAAAATACTAACAGCAATGAATATTTATGTGATTTGTTTAATTATGTCCTCTGACTGAAAGGACATTTGAATATTCATCAACAGCCAAAGGASAGTCTGGAAACAGAGGTAGACTTGTCCAACTAAAATACACATTAGCACACGAGTCTTATCAAAGAAGCATTTATTTTTAAACGGATCAAAGCATGAACCCCATCTMTCTTTTAGCTGCAGCATTATAACTTCAAATGGAAAAGTGACGTTGTTGTCTTTATTTTATAGATTTGTTTGTACACATTARGACATTTTTTTCTGTTTACACCATTGTTTATATTCAGTGATAAGCATTTAGTTTTGTTTAGTTATTTTCAGATAATTAGAAAATTACAATCAATGGGTGCCACTTTGATCTTACCTTTAAAAAGCAAAAAATAAAWAAATCAAATTACAATTWTGTTCTCACTTKTATGACTGAGGTGCACTGCAGGTAGKCCTGTCACAGTAACAAAAATTAACACAATAAACGATAATGTTTGGGGACCTTTTTAAACTAATATAATAATACCAGCCCCACACTCCGTAAAGTTTATGAAATTTTTTTTGCATAAAGACGGGAGATTTGGAAAACACCACACAACAACAGGTGCTGAAGCTATAACATCGCTACCCACTTCTATCCAAGCCAGCTCAATTTATTCTTTGATTCTTCCTCTGGCTTCAGGAAATAATTGTGGCATGCGGTGACTCGTGCGCTGCTTATGAAGTTTATGAAATTTACGTAGTGTTAAATAAACAAGTCTCTGTAAACCCAAGGTTAAGCACGGTGAGACCGTCCTGAGGCGTCGCCRGCAGAAAGAAAACCAAAGCTGTTCCTCTAGCTAAATGTTCACGAGGCTCTCGTGATACAAAGGTAATGAAGCCTGGCAAACATGACAGGAGAGTTCACTCCTCCCTATGCCAAAGAGCAGAAAAGAGGGAAACACGAAGAAAACAAACAAGCAGGCAAATGAAATTTATCGACCTCAGTTTAATTAATCATTCGATTAACTGATTAATTGATTATCGAGACAGCCTTAGCTGCAGGTCAAATATCCAATTTCCACATTAGGTTCAGTCTAGTCCAGAGATTCTCAACCCATAGGCCGTGGCCCACACCTTGAGGGCCTCAAAACAACAACAGTTTTTAACTTTGGGCCGCAGAGAGCCATGGGACTGCATTGATTTTGAATAAGGTGCAATACGCTTTCTCACCACTAGTAGCAGTAGTGCATCACTCAGTTGTTTAACAGCTTTTGAAATATGTAGAAGAAGAACCTTAGAAACCTGCCGAGAATGGAAACCTAGGCTGTGTCCAAAAC